AAAAACCTCACATAAGACTAGAAATAGAAGGGAACTTCCTCAAGCTGATAAAAGGCATCTGTCAAAAACTCATACTTGAAGGAGAAACATGAACTCTTTCCACCAAGATTGGGAAAAGACAGGATATCAGCTCTCACCACTTTTATTCAACTGGAAATTTCAGCCATTAAAATAAGGCAAGGTATACAGATTAAAAAGGAAGAAGTAAAACTGTCGCTATTCACAGATGACATGATTGTTTTCTATGCATATTCTTATTGTCAGTTATATATTACAAATTCCATTCATTATAGGGTTAAAAATTGCCTAAGACAATTATACTCAAAACTACTACATTGCCAAGAGAAATTAACGAAGAGTTAAATAAATGGAGAGTCATAATATGTTTATGAAGATTCACTACTGTTCTTCCCAGATTTATCTACATATCCAGTGCAATCCCAATCATAATCTTAGCAGAAATTGATAAGGTGATTCTAAAACTTAAATTGAAATGAAGAGGACATAAAATAGTCCAAACAATCTTGGAAAAGAACAAAGTTGGAAGACTTACACTACCTGCCCTTAAGGCTTACTAATAAGTATCATAATCAAGACTAGTTGGCATAAGTGTAAGGACTTAGAAACTTTTCAACTTTTCAAAGAACCAACTTTATCAGACCATTGCTAGCAGCATCTTCTGGACCTTTTCAAGCTCCTTGTTGTTGTTGTTGTTATGTGCTGTGGAGTTGGACCCGACTCATAGAGACCCCTCCTTGGATTTCCGAGGCAGTATCACTATGGAAGTAGATTGCCCCATCTTCCTTCTGAGGAGTGGCTGGTGGGTTTGAACCACCAGCCCTCTGGTTAGCAGTCCAGTGCATTAGGCACTGCGCTACCAGAGCTCACTTCAAGCCCCTTAATGGGTTCTATTTTATGCTAGTGTAATTGTGTATTTATATTATTCCTCTACTAGACGACAAGCTTCTCCTTAACTTCAGGCACTCAGTTTTACATGACTTTATAAGTCCTCAATCTTCACACTATGCTGCATCTGTTGTTTATTTTAAAGGATATAGTTAAAACAATGATCATTATGCATCTTCAACAACCACCATCTCAACCTCATAGGTGTCGATGAAACATGAAAGCCACAACTTCCTTCCCCAAACTACCTACCCAAGGCAGAGATCTGGTTGGTTTTTGGTGACACCCATTTTGGGGAGGACTCAGGATGGGGGGCCACAGGTTGCACTGGGCGAGTCTGTTTGGCTGCCAATTTCTTCAGGCTCACTTGCCTTTTGTCAAATATTTCCTGCACATCACTCAGCTTCTGCAGGACTTTCTGGGCATTGGCCTGCAGAAACAAAACAAATCATGAGCAGGTATCTCTACACTGAACCCAAAGACCTGAATTCTTCCCCTTCTCTGATCTTCCTCCAGCCTCCTCCTACCCCATCCCTACCTTCCTCAGAAGACCCTATTCTAGGTGTTCATATGCAAATCTATCTTGTTTTCTAATGCTGCTGTAACAGAAACACTACAAGTGGGTGGCTTTAAAAGACAGAAGTTTATTTCCTCGCAGTTCTGGAGTCTAAAAGTCTAAACCAGAGTCTCAGCCATGTTGATTCCTTCCTTGTCTTCAACCCCAGGCCTTCCTTGGGTATTGCAGATCCTCACATGGCACCTGATTCCCCAGTATGTTCTTGGCTCTGTGCCATGTCTGATCTGCCCTTTTTATAACTCAGAAGTGATGAGGTTTAGGACCCACCCTTATTTACATGAACTCATTTAACAGAACAAAGAAAACCCTATCTATTCTCAAGTGGGATGACATCCAGAGGTACAGGGGTTAGAATTCTAACACATATTTCACCTAGAGGTACAGGGGTTAGAATTCTAACACATATTTTGGGGGACATAATTCAATCCATAACAAAATCATTCTATGTATTGCCTTGCTCCAAAATTGTGCTTTTAAGAGTCTGCATTTCCCATTTGACTGACACTTGAGGACAATGAGGCAATGATTATATCCATTTCACTACCGTATTTCCAAGGCCTGGAACACTTGGATAAGCAAAAAAGAAACTTACTGCTATTGAGTCAGATCCGACTCATAGTGATACCTCCTTGGGTTTCTGAGGTGGTATCACTACGGAAGTAGATTGCCCAATCTTCCTTCCAAGTAGTGGCTGGTGGGTTTGAACCGCCAGCCTTCTGGTTAGCAGTCAAGTGCCTTAGGCACTATGCCATAGTGCTTGGGAAATATATGTTGAGTGCATAAACGATCACTAAGCTATGTCTATGAATGGTATGAAAGGATGCCACAGGCCACTGGTGAAGGACAGTAGGCCAATGTATAAGACAGGAGGACTTGAAAATAACAGAGGCACCCTGAATAAAGGCCCTGACTGAGAAAAGACTTTATGTGCTCTGGGGAAAAGAATTGGCTAAATTCTGAGGCAGGATCAAGAGAACCACGGAGTACTTGGAATAAAAAGGATATTCACTTAAACTTTATTCTGTGTGACTCCTCCTCTCTATACAGGTAGAAGAGCAATAAACCAAAGAAATACAAGGAGAAAGATGAAACTCACAGGTGTTCCCTTAACCTGATTACATATTCTATGAGACTTGGGAAAACAAGAATGAAACAAAGCCCAAAATCCTTGAGTTACACCAGGGCTGAATTCAGCCGAATCTATTTCTGCCAGCCTTCCATCCACCATGATATCCCTCTGTTGTTGTTGTTGTTATGTGCCATCGAGTCGGCCCCGACTCATAGCGACCCCTCCTTGGGTTTCCAAGGCAGTATCACTACGGACGTAGGATTGCCCAACCCTCCTTCCGAGGAGTGGCTGGTGGGTTTGAACCGCCAGCCTTCTGGTTAGCAGTCCCTCTAGCCATGTTATAACCATTCTGACATCCTCTGATGGATGATTTTAACCATCAAAGAAGGGACCCAGAATCAGAACACTCTTACATCACAGCCAATTCCATGAATGCAGGTTCAGAACATACCCAGGGAGACTATGAATTTTGTTGTTTTTATGCTAGGCCATCTTCTGAGTGAAAGAACAAGGAGGATTCCTCCACCGGAGTGTCAGCTGTGTAACAACTATTCCTTTACGGGCTCAGGACCCTTTGAATGCCAGCCTTTGGACCAGGATTTGGGGCTGGTCTCATTCTTTGGAAGCTCTCAGAGTTTAGACCTCCACTGGCCTACACAGTAACCACTAGCCATATGTGGCTATTAGGGAAGTGAAATGTGGTTAGTCTGACTTGAGATGTCCTGTAAGTGTAAACTACACATTAGATTTCAAAGACTTTGTATGAAAAAAGGAATATAAAATACCTCAGTGATTTTTTTTAATATTGATTATATGCTGAAATAGTATTTTGATCATAAAACCCACTCCCATTGCCATCAAGTCAATTGCACCTCATAGCAACTCTCTAGGACAGGGCAGACCTGCCCCATAGGTTTCCAAGGCTGTAAGTATTTACAGAAGCAGATTGCCTCATCTTTCACGGAGTGGCTGGTGGGTTCTAATCACTGACTTTATGGTTAGTGGGAGCTCTGGTAGCATAGTGCCTAAGGCATTTGACTGCTAACCAGAAAGCTGGCAGTTCAAACCTACCAGCCACTCCTCCGAAGGAAGATGGGGCAATCCTACTTCCATAGTGATACTGCCTCAGAAACCCAAGGAGGGGTCGCTATGAGTCGGGTCCGACTCGATGGCACATAACAACAATAACAACAACATGGTTAGTAGCCAATGCTGGAAGTGATTAAAACGACTGTACCACCAAAGCTCTTATTTTGATCACAGGTTAAATAAACTGTAAATATTGGTTTCACTTGTTTCTTTTTATATCTTTTAATGTGGCTACTAGAAAGTCTTCAATTACATATGTGGCTTGTATTACATTTCTATTGGACAGTGCTGGGCTAGACTAGGGGTTGACAAACTTTTTCTGCACAAGGACAAATAGTAAAAATTTATGTTTCTGTTGCAACTACTGGAATCTGCTGTTATACATGAAAACAGCCATACATCATACACAAATGAATAAAGTGGCTATTCCAATAAAACTTTATTTACAGAAACAGGTGGCAAGTGAATAAGGCTCTCTGGTTATGGTTTGCTGACCCCTAGTCTAGACTAAGCTCAGGGTCTTTTCAGAGAATATACTCTCTGGTTTCAAGAAGCTTAGTTGTACAGTAGACTAGAGGTTCTGACACCAGAGCTACTGAGTCAAAGTCCCAAAAGAAACCAAAATTGAGACACAGGTGTTAATTGCTGCAGGACAATTAAAGAATCTGACTGACGGCCAAATTGCTGTGGGCTGTTGAAAAGTGGGGCTCAGGCCAGGGTCTAAGGGTGGCACCAACATCCAGAGCCAAGGGCCCACTGTCCAGAATCCAGAGGGTGGAGCTGCCACCCAGATGGGCTGGGGAACAGATGATTATTTCCAACCTTGAAATTCAATGAGATTTGCTCTGCTGGGCTTTGGACTTGCTGAGTATCCATGACTCCTTTTTTCCCTCCCATTTCTCCCTTTCAAAATGGGACTGTGTTCCACCCTGTGCTTTGGAAGTAATTAACTGGTATCACAGGTTTCACAGGTCCACAGATGGTGAGGAATTTTGCCTCAGATGGAACACACCCAGAGCCTCACTCATACTTGATTCAGATGATTCAGAAGATGAGATTTTGGATTCAGAGTAGATGCTGGAATGAGTTAAGACTTTGGGGATGTTGGTGTAGGATGAATGTATTTTGCATGTGGGAAATTTGAGGGAGGGCAGAAGGTGGAGCTAGGGATTGAATTGTGTCCCCCAAAATATGTTGAAGTCGTAAGTCCTGTACTTGTGAATGGGATCTTGTTGGGGAAGACAGGAAAATACACTGAAACCTGTGACAGCTGGAACTCGACAGGACTGCCTTGTTTGTCTGAGATTCCCAAGTTTTCTGCCTTTGACAAGGTGCAGTCTTTTACCACTTTTCAAGCACTCATTTTAGTGAAAAATATTTGAGTTTTCCTTCTGATAGGCACCTGCCTTATATAGGTTCTGGCTTTCATAGATTTTACTACCAGTTAAGTAATACCAGAGTAGAGTGGGTCTTGGTCCTAATCTCTCCTGAGTGGTGTCTTACAAGAGGGGAGAACAGACACAAAAGAGAGTCACACAGAGGGGAAAGACATCATGTGAGGACCAGTGTACAAGCCAAGAAATGCTAGGGGCTACTAGAAGCTAGACAAGAGACTAGTTTGTCTAGTCTCTAGACAAGAGACAAGGAAGAATCTACTAGAAAGAGACAAGGAAGAATCTTCCCCTAGAGCTGGCAAAGATAGCATAGTTTAGCAACACCCTGAATCTGGACTTCTAGCCTCCAGAACTTCAGAACACTTTGTGGTAATTTGTTATAGCAGCCCTAGGAAACTAAGACAGGTCCTTGACTCAAAAAAGAAAAAAACCCACTGGCATTGGGTCAATTCCAACTCACAGTGACCGCCACGGCATTTTCAACACTGTACATCTTTACGGAAGCAGATCACGTCATCTTCCTTCCGAGGAAGGTTTGAATGACTGCCTTTCTGGTTAGCAGCCAAATGCCTTACCCACTGCACCACCAAAAGCAAACTCACTGCCATCAAGTTGATTCTGACTCATAGAGACCCCTTTTGGGCTTCCAAGACTGTAAATCTTTATTAAGGAAATAGATTGTCCCATCTTCCTTCCACAGAGCAGATGGTGGGTTTGAACTGCTGACCTTCTGGTTAGCAGCCAAATGTATTATCCACTATGTCACCAGAGCTCCTGACTGCACCACCAGAGTGCCTTCAAAAGAGGCAAAGAAAGTCCTAAAATAGAGATACACATGAAGTGATGTGGATCTAGAGGAAGGTGTAGTATCCACAACCCTGCTGCCTCTTGGGAGAGTGCTCTTCTCAAAACGCAAATCCAGTCAAGTTACCCTCACACTTAAATCTTACAGGTGGCTTCACAGTGCTGTTAAAATAAAGACCAAACAATAAACACTGCAATAAATAATATAAATAGATAGATAGGTAGATAGAATGTGAAACTAAATACATGAAGACCAAACTCCTTAATGTAACCTACAAAGTCTCACCTCGCTGCCTCTTTCTAATCTCATTCCAAACACTCTTTTCTCTCTATCCTCCACCAACCCTGACCTTTCAGTTCCTCACTTGTGCTGGCTCCCTCCAGCTCTGCTCCCACCTGGTTAACTCTTCATTTCCCAGGTCTTGGGTCACTCAGCACCTCCTAGGATCCTTCTCCAACCCCCAGTCCAGATCAGGTTCCTCTGTCACATGCCTAATAGGACGCTGGATCCCTGGATCCTTCGTTCAGAGCACTTATCTCAGCTTGTAACAGAGGTTTGTGTGATTATTTTGTTAATGCCAGCATCTCCCACTAAACCATAAGTTCATGAGGGATGGATCCATGTCTACTTCTACTGATTGCTGTATCCTCAGCACACAACATGAAACATTAGAGATGTTCCAAGTGTTTGTTGAGAAATGAATGACTAATGACATTTGAGGCAGACTATGATGGATAAGTTTGCCAGGAAGCACAGGCCAGGAGTCTAAGAAGCCACGCAAGGGCTCAAGAACTGGTTAGTCTGCTCAATATATGCTATTTGTTCTTTCTTACTTCCTTTCTTTCTCTTTTCCTTTATTTTCTTGTTTATCTTCTACCTGAACTTTCTTAAGCAATAAGTAAAATCCTTCACATATCCCTGTCCCAAGCACAAGGTCAGAATAACCCAGAGACATTACCTTTAGGTCAACGGTGAGAATCAACTCAAACTGGTTGTAAAAGTCCTTGGGGCTGGGCAACTGGTACTCCTTGGCCGTGCCCAGGAATGTCTCAATGTCGTTCAAAGCAGTGTCAACTCCTTCTCGTGACTGGCACTTGTCTACAGCTTGGGAAGCCAAGAGGTAGATCCCTGCTTCACACCACTGCCTGACCTTTTGAAAAGAAACACAGTGCCCTGTGCAGTTAGCCTGACCACAACTCAGCTACCACAGTCCCCAGGAGGGTCCAGCTCACCAAGGATCTACAAAGACTCTGAGACAACAGGAAACCATCCTGGCACAGCATTCAGTTTAGGGGTCTAATCACTATAAATAAAACTCTGAGGTGGACAGGCCCAAACCAATTTGACATCTGACCATTTCTCAGGAAGTCCCTTGGTCAGTACAATGAATATAGGAATACTTTGTTTTCTTGTGCTTCACTTTATTGCCTTTCGCAGATTTTTACAAATTGAAGGTTTGTGGCAACCCTGTGTCGAATAAATCTAATGGAATCATTTTTCCAACAGCATGTGCTCACTTTGTGTCTCTGTGTCACATTCTGGTAATTCTCACAATATTTTAAACTCTTTCATATTGCTATTGCACACTTAATAGACTACTCAACCCAACCAAAAACCCACTGCCATTGAGTTGTTTTCAACTCACAGCAACCCTCTAAGACAGAGTAGACCTGTCTCATAGGGTTTCCAGCGCTATAAATCTTTATGGAAGCAGACTGCCTCATCTTTCTCCAGAGTGGCTGGAGGGTTCGAACTGCCTAACTTTTGGTTAGCAGTTGAATGCTCTAACCACTGCACCACCAGAGCTCTTTATTAATAGACTATCGTACAGTGTAAACATAACTTTTGTATGCACTGGGAAACCAAAAAACATGTATGACTGGCTTTATTGTGTATATTCACTTTATTGCAGCAATCTGGAAGCAAAGCTGTTTTATCTCAAAGGTGTGTCTGTGGTATAAACAATCTTCGCTTTTCCACCAAAAATAATTGCAACATCCTTGGGAGAAGATAGTTAAGTGTTTCTAAGGCTAGTCTAACCTCAGAGAAATGTAACCTAAGACATTTCAGGTTTATCTGCTGGGCCACTTGTCTTGCATCTTAATGGGTTTACAAGAACATAGCACGATTGATGAGATGTTAGATCTGGCCTCTGTGTGCCTTTTTGGGGAAAGGAATGTCTCTTTAGGGGAAAAAAAATTACTTTCCTCTTTGGATTTCCAGGCTATCGATCTGCATTTATTGGCATTGTGTTTCCTAGGGAAGTATCCAAGAATGCAAAAGTTTGTAATTCAGAATAGCAATACCCAAACCTTCCTGGACCCTAGGATGGAATCATATAGGTGAATTAATCTAATTCATTTTTCAAAAAATACTTGCTTTCTTGTATCTTTCTTCTTTGAACCCCACTAAGACACCTGAACAGAAAGATATGGGCCCTTTGTGCTGCCAGAATATTTATAATAAAAACAAGCTCCCAGTATAAGTGCCTAAGTGCATACCCATTCACTGTGGGATCTGAAAAGTTATTAAACAAAAACAAACAAACAAACAAACAAAAACTATACAGAGAGAAAAGATCAAAAGGGAGCACTCCAAAGTGGTTATTCCTAAAAGGGAAAATTATAGACAATTAAAATTTTTGTCTTCGTTTTATCCTAAATTGCCTTTACTGAATAGATACTACTTTTAGAATAATGACAAAAGTAATAACAATATTTTAAAATTAATGATTACCATTGTGTGAAGATAGGGAAGAATGTGTCGGAGTTCATAAGTAACTTTTTTCCTCTTCCTTCCTACATCTTTGGATTTTTAAAATACTACAAAGTCATGCTTTGATATATATATTATGGAAAGTTTCTCTTTAAACATCATGCCTAGTCTGCAGAAAACTTTAACTGGACTCAAACTTCCAACCTTTTCAGTTAGCAGCTAAGTGTTACTGTTTGCACTGCCCAGGGACTAGCCCTAAGCTATTATCTCTGGAGCCTGAATGGGGTAAGAACAGCCGCTGGTTATTCGAGAGAGTGCAGCACATAAAACAGGGTGTGCACCAGCCCCCTCTGAGCCATCTGCTCCTGAACAGCTGTATTTCATTGACATTATAACCCCTTTGGCAGTGGGATGATGTAAACAGACTGGAATGGGTGCCCCCAGCCACACAGGAGAGAAAGAGCGGTGGTGATGGAGAATGCTGACTCATGGCCACGAGCCTTCCACTGCTTGGGAACAGCTGACAGGGAAGATTCCAAAAGTCTCTGCTCCTGCTTACTGGAAACTTGCTCCAGAGATCACCACTGAAAGGTGCCAGGGTCTGTACACATCCTACCTTGTGGAGACAGTGTTGTTGAACCCAAGAAGCCTGGGTTTTGGAATCTGCCAGTGCTGACTTGAAATCAGGCTTCCCCTATTCACTCCTTGTGTGGTCTTGTGGTTTTTGCACCACCTGCACATGAGTACTTGACCAAAATACTGATTCCAGGGCATCCTCCCAGACCCACTGAATTTGGATCTCCAGAGTGGTATATCTGGGAATTTGCAGTTATTAACACGCTCATCAAGTAATTCTCATGCTAAATTTTTAGAACCATTGACTTAACCACTCTGAATATCAGTTTTCTCCTCTATAAAATGAGGCAATTAATAGATTCCTGGAAGAACATCATGAGGACTAAAAACAAGCAACAGTTGTCAATGAGTTGATTCCAATTTATGGTGACCCTTGTGTATCAGAGTAGAACTGTGCTCTCTAGGATTTTCAATGGCTGATTTTTTGGGAGTGGATCACCAGGCCTTTCTTGCAAGGCACCTCTGGGGGAACTGGAACCTTCAACCTTTCCCTTAACAGCCAAGTGCATTAACGCATCACCCAGCCACTCCAAAGGTTAAATTGATGACATAATTATGCTTTTGGTAGGAACAGAGCATAAGCTTAATAAATAGTAGAGGGTATAATGGCCATTATTACTTACCAAACCAAACGCACTACCGTTGAGTTGGATCCAACTCATAGCGACCCCTCCTTGGGTTTCCGAAGCAGTAGCACTAAGGAGGTAGATTGCCCAACCTTCCTTCCAAGAACTGGCTGGTGGGTTTGAACTGCCAGCCCTCTGCTTAGCAGTCAAATGCCTTATGCACTACGCTTAAGTGTCTCTAAAAGGATTCACAATCTTTTCCCATAATATGTTGTTGTTGTTGTTGTTATGTGCCGTGGAGTCGGTCCTGACTTATAGTGACCTCTCCTTGGGTTTCTGAAGCAGTATCACTATGGAAGTAGATTGCCCAACCTTCCTTCCAAGGAGTGGCTGGTGGGTTTGAACTGCCAGCCTTCTGGTTAGCAGTCAAGTGCCTTAGGCACTATACTACCAGATCTCCTTCCCTTAATATGAGGGAAACCAGAAAAACCAAACCCACTTGCCCTTGAGTCAATTCCAACTCACTGCAACCCTGTGGGACAGTGTAAAACAGCACCAGAGGGTTTTCAAGGCTGTGATCTTTATGGAAGTAGACTGTCACATCTTTCTCCCACAGAGCAGCTGGCAGGATTGAACCACTGATTTTTCGGTTAGCAGCTCAGCTCTTAACCACGTTGCCATCAGGGCTCCTTATACAAGGAAAGCACTTTGCAACTCTAGTGCTTGTACTTGATTCCCTGTACTCCTAAAGGGGAATCAAGAAATATGCTACAGGGTCAGGCCAAAAACACTAGTCAGGTGTGGATCCACACAGTGAGAAATGGACTTTCATTAAGTCCAGTAGGATGTGGTGGAACGGCTGGGGTACTGTCTACCTTCAATACCCCGACTCCCAAGAACTGCACACTTTTTAATGCTTTCTGAGCACTTTTTCACGTCTAGTACTTTATCCCCTCACCATTCATATCAGGCAAGGGAGAGGCAAGTATGTTTCAGACCATTTTACAGAAAATCTTGCAGATACCATGTTCATGGCTTTGTTCTGCTCACCTTGTCCAGCTGTTTATTCAACTCCAACGACTTCCTTAAGATGTCCTCTTTTTTCTTGTTTTCATTGATGAAGTCATCGCAGAGGTGCCTAAGCTCCACACACTTGGGCCTAATGGTGTCTACTGCATAGTGATGGCTTTGGATGAGCTGGTCCCCAAATAGTGCACAGAGTCGGGCCTTTTCCAAGGGCTCCTGCGAACATCCACAGTCAGTAAACAGTCATCAGTCGTTGTGAGGCTGATTCAACCAGGCACGGCTTCCTGGCACTGTGAGTGAGCCTAAAGATGCCAATGCATGCCTTCGGCTGAGAGTTTGAGGCTGGGGAGTCTGGGGAAGCTCTGTGGTTATTCAAGTTCCCCAGGAAGTCTAGCCTAGTCCACGGTCATCCATACTCTGAAGAACAGTAAGTCATTCATTCAAATATTTGTTGAGTTCTGAGCTAGGCACTGAAGATATTGTGTTAACAAGCCAGACATTTTCAATATCTAGAGAACTCAGGTATTAAATAAATTATAAAAAACAATAAAATTATGACAATTGTGATAAGTTCTAGGGCAGAGAAGAGTATGGAGTCTGATAGTGCACATAATGAAAGATTCTAAATTCCCCTTTTGACTAAAGAGGAAATGAAGATGGGCAGACACGTGTGGGTGGTGAGCTTAAGTTGAGAAACTGGCAGACATCTGCTTTGGTCAGTTCTTTGGGACTCATGAGACTTCAGACATATGCTTATCTAAACTCACAACTGTCAAGGTCTTTGTCTGCTCTGATCCTATTTGCCTCAGCAGAGTTCATCCACCTCATCTCCTACTTCTCTCTGTATAGCTCATTTTCTTCTAACCACATGTACCATGCCCTTTTTTCTGTTTTTCATTCATTCATGCATTTGTTCATTATATGTTATCGAATACTGGCCATGTGCCAAGCACTCTCCTAGAGGCTGGGAGGTGTCCCCTCATGAAACTTATATTTTAATGGGAGATACAAGCAAGAAACAATTACATAAGTAGATAATGTAGTATCTTAGATAATGATGAGTGCTATGGAGAAAAATAAAACAGAGAGGGAAGCAGGGGTTGCTGGTAGAGGATGTGCTATTTTAAATAGGGTGGTAACAGAGGGTCTCACTGAGAAGGTACTGTCTGGCTGTCCAGAAAAGAGCTAACAGCAGGGTTGAGACTGCTATCCTTAGAAAGGTCTGCTTGCAATATTGGCCTTGGATAATGGCAAGGAATTTAGATTTCAGGAAATTTCCCATCATTCCCTGATAAGAGTATCTCACTGTGCCTAAACTGTTTGTACAAAGAATATAATTTAGACCAAACCTCTGCTTTCCCTCTGGGAGTCTAAAATTTTGATTCATGCCATGCAGGCTGTGCCTACGTGACAGAAACCAAACCAAACACATTTCAGTCAAGTCTAGTCTGACTCAAAGCAACCCTATAGGACAGAGTTGAACTGCCTTACAGAGTTTCCAAGGCTTTGATCTTCATGGAAGCAGACTGCCAAATCTTTCTCCTTCAGAGTGGCTGATAGGTTTGAACTATTGACTTTTTGGGTAGCAGCTGAGCACTTTAAACATTGTGCCCCCATGACTCCTCCCTAAACCCAAACCCAAACCAAACTCACTGCCATCGAGTCGGATGCAACCCATAGCAACCCCTCCTTGGGTTTTTGAGGTGATATCACTACAGAAATAGATTGCCCAACTTTCGTTTCAAGGAATGGCTGGTGGGTTTGAACCACCAGCCTTCTGGTTAGCAGTCAAATGCCTTAGGCACTACACCACCAGAGTTCCTGAAAATCTAAAAAATAAACCTCTGCCATCGAGTCGATCCAACTCACAGCAATCCCTATTGGGTTTCCAAGGTGGAAATAGATTGTCTCATTTTCCTTCCACAGAGCAGCTAGTATTTTTGAACCACCAACCTTCTGGTTAGCAGCCAAATGCCTTACCCACTATGCCACCAGAGCTCCTTCCCTACATGAATAGCCCCCAATAAAAATTCTAATGAACTTCCCTGATGACAATATTTCACAGTGTTGCTATAACTCACTCCTGGGGGAATTAAGTGTGTCCCATGTGACTCCACTAGAAGAGAGCTAATGAAAACTTGTGCCTGGTTTCCCCTAACTTTGCACTATGCACCTTCACACTATCCCTCTGCTGATTTTGCTTTGTATCCTTTCACTGTAATAAATTATAGCCATGAGTATAATTATATGCTGAGTCTTGTGAGTCCTCCTCATGAATCTTCAAACCTGGGGGTGGTCTTAGACATATAAACCAAGGCCTGTAGTGAGAGAGCGAGCCATGCAGTACCTGGCTGCAAGGTAGGTGCATGTTTGGTGTGTTCAAGGTAGCAGGAGGGAGGACAGTGTGGCCACAGCAGTGGGAGCAAGGGGGACAGGCACAGGGGTTGCAATCAGGGAGGAAAGATGGGGATCGGATTGGGAAGGGATTGGACTCTATTGTATGCACTTTGGTTTTTACTTGCTGTGGTTTGGGAAGTCACTGGAGGGTTTTGAGAAGACAGCCTCACTTATATTTTTAAAAGGATTGCTCTGGCTGTAGTGTTGAAAATGGTAGAGCAAGGGAAAGCAGGGAGACCAGTAAGAGGGCTACTGTAGTAATGTAGGTAAGAGATTTGGCTTAAACAAGGCCGGTAGCCAAACTAGTTTCTGTCTCAGGGTCCTTCCCTACAATGCTCTTCTCTGGGTCATTCAAGTCTAAAGCTCATGAGTCATCTCCTCATAGGGCCTTCCCTGATTACTGTCTAAAGTAGTTTCCTGCAACCTACCTACCCAGGTTGTCTGCCAGGGAACCTCACTAGAGACTTAGTGCCCAAAGGTTTCTCACTTACTTTGTTTTAATTTATTTTTGCAATGCTTAATGAGATGGGCTCAAACATACCAATGATCATGCAGATGGCACAAAGCTGGGCAACATTTCATTCTATTGTGCATATGAACACCAGAAATTGGAGCCAGCTTTACGGCAACAACCAACAGCAACATCAACAACTTCTATCTGAAAGTACCTTCATAGTTTAATGTCTGATTCCTCCCTCCTCTATCCACCCACTTAGTAGGCATATAAAAAATATTTAAGCAACAAAAGGAATGAATGAACTATATGATGCAGTGATCTGGGTGGCTGGAACTGTGTGACGCACACGTCGCCTTTGAGTCAGCACAGATGACTGCCACATTCCCAAATGTCTCTGGGAACAGAGAGCCCAAAGTACTCTTGCTGACAATTTCTAGTTTCCAGTGTGCCACTTTGCCTTGTTTTAGTTTTTTTATGGTAACATAAGAAGTCATGATGACTCTAGGTAGGACAAGTTGTCCCTAAGACTCTTAACTTGCAGTGGTTCATGGTTTCAACAACCTCAGAAACCTACAGCCATCAGTCATGAAGTCCCACAGAGTCCACATCCTTACTAGTATATTTTGAATTCTGATCTCTCCCACCAAACTGTCACTGACTTTGTTTAAACCTTCATGCTTTCTCACCAGGACAACTGGTCTCCCTGCTTTCCATCAGGCTCTTCAATTCATGTTCCATGCTTCTGATAAAGCAGCTATTCGACCACAATGTCTTATCATGTCTACATCACTCTCAAGTTTTAATTCCTTTCGGCTCTCTACAGTCTTTTTTTTTTTTTTTTTAACTTTTATTGTGGTGAAAACATACACAACACATTCACCAACATATCAACTTCCACATTTACAGCTCAAGTCCCTACAGTCTTAAGAAGAAGGTTCAAACTGCCAAGCAATGAACACAAGTCCTTTCATTCATTCCCTAGCTCATACCTGTGCCTCTCATTGACTCCTCCCCTTCCACTTCCTTCACCCTTATCCTCTGTTGTAACCATACTAATGGCCATGTGTTGCTGTTGTTGGGATCTCTGGTGGCATAGTGCCTAAGGCATTTGACCGCTAACCAGAAAGCTGGGGTTCAAACCCACCAGCCACTCCTTGGAAGGAAGGCTGGGCAATCTACTTCTTGAGTAATACTGCCTTGGAAACCCAAGGAGGGGTCACTATGAGTCAGATCCAACTCGATGGCATTGAGTTTGGTTTGGCTTGGTTTGGTTGCTGTTGTTGTGTGCCACTGAGTCAGTTCCAACTTATAGCAAACCTTTATGACACAGCAGAACTTCCCCATTGGGTCTCCTAGGGCTGAAATCCTTATGGGAGAAGATTGCCAGGTCTTTTCTCCCATGGAGCCATTGGTGGGTTTGAACTGCACACCTTTCAGTTAACAGTCAAGTGCTTAACCATTGTGTCACCAGATTTCATTCAACGTCAAGTCTCCACGTCTTCTCAATCTACTGTGTCTACCTAGAATGTCCCACTCATCCCTTTTGTTCCCTCATACATCCATGCTCCTCTGGCCCCAACTATAAATCAGCCTTCAGAGTTCACCTTCTCCAGGAAGCTTTCTTTGACTGTTTTACTTTGATGCCTCTCCTCAGTGCTCCCATAACACTCTGTACTTTGCTTGATCAGAGCACTTACTTGTCATCATTGCTTATCTTGTGACCATTGCTTAGCTTTGCCCACTATGCCATAGACCCTTGTGGTCATGAACAGGCTCTTATCCAACATAAGACACTACATGGCACACATTAGGCCCTGAGGGATAAATGATTGTTGTGCAAAACAAAAAGGAGTAATGATATGGGAATAAATCAAGCAATGACTTGAGAAAGAACCCAAGGATAAATGCCTAGTGAACTTGTCTTGAACAGAAGAGGCCCAGATGCCTCTCAGGGTCATCTCTGAAAGGAGATTAGAATGCTAGTTCCATGAGGCAATGATTGTTATCTGTTTTGTTCACTGCTGTGTCCTCAGAACACAGAATAGTGCTTGACATAGTAGGTGTTCACTAAATATTTGCAGAATGAGTGATGAGTGACTGAGAGACTCTCATTGCTCAGCTACTGCAGTTATAATTTAGAAAGTGTTCTATGGCACAGAATTAATCCCATAACCTCTATGATATTAATAATGACAGATAACATTTACTACAAATGAATTATATGACAAGCACGGTTCTGAACATTTCACATTGATGATTACTTTTATTTATCACAACAAATCCTTTGATATAGGCACTGTTTTATAAAACAGAAACTGAAATACAATGGCCCAAGTGACCCAGGTAGGAAAGAGAAGAGCCA